CCATGGTTTGAGTCCCAGACCTGGTGGCTTGCTTTCTCACTCCCCCACCACCCCGTGTGTCTCTCTCTGGTCAAATTAAAATAAACAATGAATAAATAAAATTAAATAAATTATTTAAAAAAAGAAGTACTATGGGGGCTGGCAGGTGGAGTGGTGGTTAAGGGAGCTGTTCGTGTCCCGGACCTGGTGGCTTGCTCTCTCTCTCTCTCTCTCTCTCTCTCGCTCGCTCTGTCCCACTCTGGTCAAATTTTTTTAAAAAAGTAAATAAAGTTAAATGAAATAATTCTTTTTTTGAGGGGGAAGAGGGAGAGAGGTTTTTGTTATAGGGCACGTGCACTCGCCAGAAAGAAAAAGAGACAGAGAGAGAGAAAGAGAGAAATCACACCCAGGGGGTATGGTCACGCCACAATCCCTTCTCCTCCATTCTCCTCTCAGGATTTTAGACACGTACGCACATGTGCCCAGTGTGAGTTTAAGCCACTGGGTCCGGAACTCAAACAGCAGTCAACTACATGGGAATCCAGCAACATAGCCATTATGCCATCTGCTGGTCCCCATAAAATTTTTTTTTTTTTTTTGGAGAGGTTTTTGCTATAGGGCATGTGCACTCACCAGACAGACAGAGACAGAAAACGAGAAATCACCCCCCAGGGGGGATGTCCACATCGCAATCCCTTCTCTCCTCCATTCTCCTCTTGGGATCTTGGGCACACACGCACACGTGCCCGGCGTGAGTTTTAAGGCACCGGGTCTGGGACGCGAACCGCGGTTGACTACATGGAGTCCAGCAACATAGCCATTACGCTAACTGCTGGTCCCCCCATAAAATAATTCTTAAAAAAAAAAAAAAATAGTACTATGAACTGCATCCAAACAAGTTGGATAACTTACACAAAATGGACAAATTCCTAAACATAAAACCTGTAAAGACTGAATAATAAAGAATCAGGAAATCTAAATAAACCTCTAACATGTAAAGAGATTATACCAATAATCAAAAACCTTCTCACAAAAGCCCAGGACCAAATCTTTACCAGTGAATTTTACTGCTGGGTGGGAGGGGATAACAATTTACTGGGAAGAGGTATTCATTCATGAATCTGTTAGAATAATGGAATGTTCTATGCCTTGATGTTATTAGTGATAACTCAAATGTATACACAAATGAAAAAACACTGAGTGGGGCCAGTAGGTAGTATAGTGGTTAAGGAGTTGGACTCCCATATAGTCAACTGCAGTTCAAGTCCTGGACTTGGTAGCTTGCTTCCTCATTTTCTCTCTCCACCTCGCACATGTGGGCACAAGCACACGTGCTCACAGAAAATTTTAAAATAATAAATAAAATTAGAATAATTCTTTTTTAAAAATGAACTATAGGGACCAAAAGATGGCGTAATGGCTATGTTGCTGGAATCCCATATAGTTCGAGTCCTGGACCAGGGTACATGTGCATGCGTGCCCAAGATCGCAAGAGGAGAATGGAAGAAAAGGGATTGTGGCGTGGCCATCCCCCCCAGGGGGTGATTTCTAGCTTTCTCTGTCTTTCTGCCTTTCTAGTGAGTGCACGCACCCTATAGCAAAATCCTCTTGCAAACAAACCAAAAAAATGAACTATAGGAGCCAGCAGGTGGCGTGGTGGTTAAAGGTGCTGAACTCCTACATAACTGACCATGATCCAAGTCCTAGACCTGGTGCTTGCTTTCTTTCTCTCTCTCTGCCTTGCTATAGTCAAGTGAAAAATAACAATAATGATAAATAAAGAAAACAATTCTTTAAAAATAAAACGAACTAGGGACCAGCAATTGGCATAATGGCTATATCGCTGGACTCCCATGTAGTGGACCACAATTCAAGTCCTAGGCCCAGTAGCTCAAACTCATGCCTGGTGTGTGTGCATGTGTGTCCAAGATCTTGTGAGGAGAATGAAGGAGAAGGGATTGCGGCGTGACCATCCTCCCTGGGGGGTGATTTCTTGCTTTCTGTCTCTCTGTCTCTCTCTGTCTGTCTGGTGAACACACACGCACTTTAGCAAAAACTTCTGCAAAAAAAATTTTTTTTTTAATTTAAAAATTAAAATACTTAATTAATTAAATGAGCTATATACTTAAGATTATGCACTTTACTATCCATAAGAAAATTATCTCCAAACTCCTACGTAGCCTAAAGTTCTCATGTTCATATCTTTGTACTACAGAAGTTTCCCAAATTCTTCCAGACAGGCTAATTTAAAATATTATTTTAATATGGGATATACTGATAGCTGTGTAGCGTAAGCAAGAGAAAAAGAAAATTGGCGACTACAAAATCACAATTACTTTGATTTTATAGTACGAACGAATCAATTTTTTTTTAAGAATTATTTTATTGGGGAAGGCTGGTGGCATGGTGGTTAAGGGTGTTGGATTCCGACTGCAGTTTGAGTTCCAGACCTGTGGCTTGCTTTCTCACTTTCTCTCTCTCTCTCAAATTAAAATAAATTAACTCTCTAGTTAAATTAAAATAATTTATCCCTCTGCTCCTCTCTAGTCAAATTAAAATAAATAAAAACCAGAGAGGGATAGAGAGAGAGAAAGAAGGTAAAAACCAAGCTGCCAGGTCCAGGACTCGAACTGCAGTCGGCTATGTAGGAGTCCAGCGCCCTTAGCTACCAAACCCCTGCTGGCCCTGTAAATCAAGTTTTGATCTGAAGTATTCTGTAACTAAATAGATCTGACATAACCAATTTACAAAAGATGTCCCTAGCAAGAAAATCTTACTATCAAGGATAGTACTGTTGACTCTTAACAGCTTAACTATAGAACTCTGCATTATAATTATGTGGGCCTTAATTCATCTTTTCCAATGGCTTGTAAGCTCTCTTCAAAAGTAAAAATCGGGAACCAGCAGTTAGTGTAATGGCTATGTCGCTGGACTCCCACGTAGTCGACCGCGGTTTGCATCTCGGACCCGGTGGCTTAAAACTCACGCCGGGCGCGTGTGCGTGCATGCCCAAGATCCCAAGAGGAGAATGGAGGAGAAGGGATTGCGGCGTGACCATCCCCTCTGGGGGGTGATTTCTCGCTTTCTGTCTCTATGTCTCTCTCTGTCTGCCTGGCGAGCGCACACGCCCTATAGTGAAAACCACTCAAAAAAAAAAGTAAAAATCTTACTTATCTTTGCATCTCCCACAATGCACAGATAAATCTTCTGGTCAGAATAGGTACTTAAATAAAGTACATGTTAAATTGTTAAGTAATAGAGAAAAATAACAAGATACCATCATCTCGTAAGTCTATAACACCTCTTTGTTCTTCCAAACAAGAAGCCTGCCCTTTCACTAGGCAGCTGAGATACTTACTAGATTGGAGACACCTATCGAAGCAGATCCAAAATGTTCAGGGAGAGAAAAAGCCACAGAGAATAAGCAAATCACTTTGCAGATCAAGAACGCAAAGGCTCTGAGATGAGACTTGTTCACTGAGTCTTCATTCATAGAACGTCACTGTTCTTGCCAGGATGAAGCCTTGGTTTGGTTTTAAATACATGTCCTGGGACCAGCAGTTAGTGTAATGACTATGTTGCTGAACTCCCATGTAGTTGATCATGGTTCAAGTCCCAAACCTGGTGTCTTAAACTCACACCTTGCGCATGCGCGTGCGTGCCCAAGATCCCAAGAGGAGAACGGAGGAGAAGAGGTTGCAGCATGGCCATCATCCCTGGGGAGTGATTGCTCGCTTTCTGTCTGTCTCTTTTTTGGCGAGTGCACGTGCACGTGCCCTATGGCAAAAACCTCTCAAAAAAATATATATGTGTGTGTGTGTGTGTGTGTGTGATGAGAAGCTCAGTATTTTCCTACCTAAAATTTGAACACTTAAAAATTTTGGAAAAAAATTCAATTGAAGGGATCCTCAAAGTCCTATAAAAAAAAATTAAAAAAAAAAAAAAAGGCAGGGAGGAAGGGATTAT